GCGCTCTCTCTCTCTCTCTCTCTCTACAGTTATGTCGTTGGGCTTGTCTGGAGGACAAGCCTGTGGTACTTGCAAGAACGAAGCTGAAAGCCTCAGGGATGAATGCCAGCTTCAAATATGGAAGTGCTCCCTTGGGGATCAGGGAGGGTGGGACTAGGAGGTAGGTTTTAGCCTTGGGAAAGGGAGCGGTCACCTCAGTGATTCAGAAGAAAAGATGCTGCCGGTGTCTAGCAATCCTGGCAGGGCCACGGGAGACCTGAGTTTTAAGCTCAGACCCATTCATTCCATCTCTGGTCCCTGCACCTTACTAACAGCAGAGGAAGGAATTAAACCTCCATTGTGCGTTTCTATAAAAGCAACTTTTTTCAAAAATATTCCTTGCTCAGTATAATCATGGATGTGGAGAAATGCATAAACAGGGCTAATGTTAAGGGTAGAAAAAAGTCGGTGTATTAGTTGTTCATATCAGAATTAAGGGTTGGATGTTTCAATCACAGGGATAAAGGAGTTAGGAGAAGGGTCTTGATAATGAAATTGTTTGAAAATATGCTTGAAATGCTACTAAGGATTATTGTTAAAACATTATTATAAGAACATTAGTATATTATTCTGCTATGAAAAACAAGGTGAGCAAGCCGGTGGCACATTCCACAGGTATGAAAGTTCTTTGCCTAGCCAGTCTCAACAGGGAAGAGCAGGGCTAGAATGACCTTTAAAGAAATGTAAATTTCTCCCCTAAGTGTCTGGCCCCTGTTTTCCTCGAAGCTGAAGGCCTTTCTTCTCCGAGGTTCCCCACCCCCACCCCTGTCCTTGCCCTTGGCAAGCCTCAACAAGCACATTAACAGCTCCCTAACATTTACCAAACACCTACTACGTGCCAGGCATGGTGGTAAGTTCTCTATCCACTGCGGCTCTTTTACAAGATGCCTGCAGTTCCGCAGTCACAGCCTCAGACCTGAGCAGGTGCTAGAAGATAGAAGGACTGCAAAGCCACTGTGTGTTCCCAGGTGTGCTGGCCACCCCCCCCCCCTGCCAGCTCGAAGGGCTCTCACCTACTTGAAGTGGTCCCGGGCATGCACACCAGCCACCAGTTGGCTCCTGTAAGCCAGAACTATAGTTTGTTCTGCTATCCCATCAAATGTAGAGTTGAGGCCAAGGAAATCTCACTGAACTCATCCAGGCTGGCTCTGTATCTCCACTCTCAGTCTCCACCAGAGAAGATGCATCTCCAGGGGTGTTAAACATGATTTCTGAGTCCCAGTCAGACTTTCAGAATTTGAATTTGGAGAGAGGGCGTGGAAATTTGCATACTTAAGCACCCAAGTGATTCTTATCCAAAGGCTTTCAGGAAGCTGGGTGGGTCAGGGTTCTAGTTGTAGCTCCTACCCCATCTCTAAATTCATTTTCCTCTTTTGTAAAACTAGCTGGAGATATCCTTCCCAGGCAGATTAAAGGAAATGAATGTAAAAATGCTTTGCATGCTCTGAAACTAGTGAAATTATAAAGGATTATCCATACAGTTATTATTAAGTGTGTTCCTGGTGGTTGTCCATCTGCCCTAGCCTAGGGGTTTCCTGGCTGAGAGTTGGGAACTCCTCCCCAGAGGCAGAGGATCCAGGGCACCTTGCTCATGTGCATATGTGTATCAAACAATCCTAGCTTGTGGTTAGTGCTGGAGCCCTAGGCCAGGATGTAGGCAAAAGAATGAAAGGCAAGCAGGCCCCAAAGACTCACCCTTGTAATCCTAGCTACTCAGGAGGTTGAGATCTGAGGATTACGGTGCAAAACCAAACCAGACAGGAAAGTCCATGACACATTATCCTCAAGGAACCAGCAAAAAGCTGAATGTAAAGCTGTGACTCAATTGGTAGAGTGCTAGCCTTGAGTGGAAAAGGTAAATAAGAACACAAAATCCTGAGTTTAAGTCCCAGTACCAGCACACACATGCATGCACACACACATACACACACACAAAGAAGAGTGATAATAACATAACAATGATAATATTTGTTGATGAGGAATGTACCAAGTATTCAGATAATCCTTGCATTGACTTTATCAGCATCTCCACTTCAGAGAGGAGAAAAACAGAAGCTCAGGGGGAACAAAGTCCCTTGCTGGAGGAAGCAGCCAGCAGGTGAAGGGTAGTAGGTTGCTTGTCACCCCAACCCACATCTTTAGCACCTGGACTTTCTCCTAGAAGAAGAATGGAAATGTTCCTGTATTTTCCAAGCTCTCCAAGTCTTGCCTTTCCTGAGTTGGCTGCCGTAGACAGAGCTCGTTTCTGATGTGTATTGGCCCCAAGTTGCCTGGGCATCTGGAATTTCTCTCACACCAGAAGAGCCACTGGACTGGCTGACAAAGCTCATCCATCTTCAGACTTTCTCAAACTCTTGCACCATGGAAGAAGCTGAGTCTTTGTGGCCACTTCAAGACTTGGTCCAACAATCAACTTTCCTTTTTTAAAGACATTGGTTCACCCAGGTCTGTTTCCTGCAAGAAAAACCAGAAGTGTCCTTTTTCCCCACATGAGAAATGACACCTTTTTACTTCCCCTGCCCTAGACAGACACTGACCGACAGATCACCTGACCTGGGAGATAACCTCTGAGGCCAGCCCAACTGGCTGGAAGGTTGGGGCCAAAGTCCCTTGAAGTCCCCCAGTGCTTACCATCTGGCTGTGAGGACCTTCTCCAACAGTGTGCAGCAGTGTGCATTGTGACTCAGGGATCAAAGGATCCTTTTCTCTTACCACTTCCCATCTTGAAGCTCCTGCTTGCCTGGCTATAAAATGGAGGTAAATAGGGGCTGGGAAAGTGGCTCAGTGGTAGAACACTTGCCTTGCATGCCTGAGGCCCTGAGTTCAATTCCTCAGCACCACATAAGCAAAAAGAAAAAAGCTGGAAGTGGCGCTGTGGCTCAAGTGGTAGAGTGCTAGCCTTGAGCTGAAGAGCTGAGGGACAGTGCCCAGGCCCAGAGTTCAAGCCCCACGACCAGACCCCCCCCCAAAAAATGGAGGTAAATAATATCTAGTTAAGCTGTGTGCATGCATAAACAGCATTTGGTCATTCCTTTATTTATTCACTAAGCAGATTTAATGTAAAATTAAGCAGATTTCTTGCTGGGTGTTGGTGGTTCACGCTGATAGTCTATCTACTCAGGAAGCTGAGCTCTGAGAATGTTAGATCAAAGCCAACCTGGACAAAAAGTCTGTGAGATTCTTACCTCCAATTAACCACCAAAAAGCTGAAGCAGAGCTGTGGCTCAAGTGGTACAGCACTAGCTTTGAGCAAAAAAATCTCAGAGAGTGCCCAGGCCCTGAGTTTAAGCACCAGGACCAGTGTCTCCCTTCGCACCCCCTCCCCCCAAAAAATTATTTGGCCATCCTTGGAATCTGGTATCTAACAGGGTGGGAGGAGGTTAGAGGTCCTGGAACAAATCTCCTGCAGATACTCACAGACAATTGTGTCAACATAGAGGAGACCTCCCTGGAGGAGGAATTACATAGCAACTGTTGTGGGGGTGCTGGTGGCTCATGCCTGTAGTCTTACCTACTCAGGAGGCTGAGATCCAAGAATCAAGGTTCAAAGCCAGCACAGGCAGAAAAGTCTGTGAGACTCTTATCTCCTATTAGCCACCAGAAAACCAGAAGTGGAGCCGTGGCTCAAAATGGTAGAGCACTAGCCTTGAGCAAAAGAGCTCAGGGACAGTGCCTAGGCCCTGAGTCCAAGCCCCATGATGAATAAAAAATAAACAGCAAGTATTTTCTAGCAAGTGTACCTGCCTGATCAGACCCCTCCTGACACATAGACACAGACTGTTTGCCAAGTGGATGGACTCCCATCTCTCAAAGCAAAGAACATTTCACCCTTCCCTTGCTCCTCTGCTGTTCCCACTGTTTTTAGCCCAGGCAAAAAGTGAGATCTCATTTCAGCCAATAAGCAGGGCATGGTGGTGCACACTAGTCAGCCCAGATAAGTGGGAGGTATAACCAGGAGGATTGATGTCTAGGCTAGCCCTGGGACTTGCAAAAATGCAAGACCTTATCTTTTTTACTTTTAACTAAAATAAAAAATGCTAGAGGCATGACTCAAGGGGTAGGATGCCTAGCTAACAAGAGCAAAGTCTTGAGTTCAAACCCTAATACTGCCCCCCCCCCAAAAAAAGCTCCACCACATTGGCTCTTTAGCAGAGCCCCCTTCTAAGTAAAGTATTATAGAGTAGTTGTCCAAACTCCTTTTGGTGACAACTACAAATGGTTTGCTCTCTAGAAATGGGCTTCTGAATTCATTTATC